AAGACAACGTGCTCGTGGCTAAATGATTAGGGCGTTAGACTTCTGATCAAAAGGGGGCTGGTTGGTGCCTCGGGTGGTGCACCACTTTGAGCCTGGTATGGCTGGCTGACGACGGCTAATAAGCCAGACATGGTCATTCCGGTCTTCCTTGTCTCTCCCGGCAATGCCATCTACCTTCTGCTACGGCAGCTGTCAGGGCCCGAGAAGTGTGGTCAAGAGCAGAACGGGACAAGGGAGTTCCGTTAGCGGTCGGTGTACGTTCGTCAACGAGTGTTTAAAGGTATAAGCTGTAATGGCACTGAGTTTTGTATGATATGAATGTCGGTATCACGGTGGATATGTTAGAGAGATGTGATTAGTACACATTAATTCTGCCTGCTTTCATAATGTTGGAATATATACACAAAATGTCCTTCGAAATATTTTGTCTAGGTTTTTATTATATTTTGATAGCAGTTTGAATTCATCTATCATTGCATTTTGGCCGTTACTTTTATTTTCTTTATATCAGCAAATTCCTCACGTTTTGCTAGCCCTCGTGCCGAAATAAGACTCCACAATTACTTGTAGAAAAAATTATCATGCTCTATTGGGTAACAGATTATATCCTTTAAGAATTCCACGACCCCTGAAGGACATATTAAGAAGGTTCTAGGAGAAGATCGTGGAACTTCCAATATTCAGATACAACTGTTATTTTTCTTTTGCACATGTCTATCAGGGTAACTGGGCTTTGTTGTAGTCATGCCATCCCGGTAAATCCTTTAAAGCCTATGCAAACTGTCAGGATTTTCTTTTTATTTACGTCTAGAGAAAGAAGAAACATTGGATATTCAAGCCCCGTTTTCCAGGCCTTGAGTACATTAAAGCTTGTTTTTGTTGTAACTCACAATTTCCGAGGCTACTTCGCGTCTTCTTCAATTAATGCGTGAACGCTGAATGACTCTGCTACTTTGCTCTAGGACAAAACTGGGTGTAGACTGATTTCATTTTAAAAAGGTTGTAGTCGTGAGTAGATTAAGAGCCTACTTAAGTGGATTCCAAGTTTTACGAACGCCACACAGCACGAGTCGCCGGCGCCTAACTAGCCATCATATCAAGCTAGCAGCTGGGCTCATTCATGTCATGTTAACTGAACTTCTGAAATGCGGAGTTGTAATATTGATAACCAAGTAACCTAAGCCCAAGCCGTCTGGGAAAAACTGACAACAAACGCAGTAAATATCTTTCCAATTGATGTTCGATGGCATTGTAAATTCAATCATGATTTAAAAACACCGGACTAAAATGTCTTCTTTACACTCGCTTAGTATATCTTTACGCTGTCTTCCAATTGTATGCAGCAAACAAGATTACGTTTTGGCTTAGAAAGAACGTTGTTATATCGTACTTTTCAAGACAGTAAAACGTCTATTCCTAAGGCATCAGATTTGTCCGTTTATTAAAGCTGCAAAATGTTGCAGCTCATATATAAAGTACTCTTATCTGCATAGAGAAGTGTAAATGAGTCTACTTACACAAAAAAGTCCAACAGACAGGTTGGAAGCCTGAACACAAGTACAAATACGGATCACTTCCAAATTATGCGAGAAATGGAAGCGTTGCTAAAACCGAGAGCTATCGTTTTAAAGAATACTTTTGAAGGCATGACTCGTTATTAAATGAGATTAAAGATAGAAAA